CAGGCCCCCACAGATAGGTTCTGCTTGTTCTGGGTCCTGGCTTCATTCGCTCGGCCTGGCGATTGCTGCTGCACGTCTTTAGCACATTCCCCCTCCCTGCAGCGTGTTCCACCGCGTATATTCATCCACTCTCCTGGGGTGGACACCTGCCTCTGTCTTGTCCATCTCACTAAATCCATCAAGCTCATATGGTAGAATTTGAGGAGTGGTCTCCAACCTTCTTTGGAATCAGAGTATCTGATGAGAGCCAGGTCCCCGTGACAGGAAGCTGCACACTGTCCCCACATGACAATTCTGTTTGTTCTGGGTGCCAGGTCAGGAGCCCCACCCCAGGAGACACTGGGGTGCAATCAGATGGAAGGGGGAGGTAGCGGCCAGCAGAGAACACAGGCCGTGCGTGCATATGTGTGGCCAGCGCTGCATCTGCCACCCTGGCCAGCCCACTGGCCCAGGCCCACGGGGTGCCAGCCCTTCAGGGTGCCTTGGGCTGTCCACCTGCCTGGTCTGGACCCTGCCGTGCCCCCTCTTCAGGCTGGCACACGCACCCAGGATGCTCCCAGACTTCCTCAGCACAACTCCATGGGCCCCTGGGAGATCTGCGAACACCACAAAACCACGTGCATTTTCTGCAGAGGGCAGTTCCCAGCCCCGGGAAGGTTTAGAACCACTGGCTCAGGACAGGAGGATCCTCCGAGCAGAAGTGGCCGGCGCAGGAATGGAGGCGGCCAGCAGCCCCGGCAAGCACAATAACCCCGCTCCTGAGCTGGGCGCCAGTCCCACGGGTCTCGTTTATTCCTGCCCAGGCTTTCTCCCCAAAGGCCTCCCGTTGGCCTTTCTCCTACTCAAGACCCCTGCCGCCCCGCCCTGCAGAGCACACGGCCTCCGTCTCCTCTCCCACAGCAGTGCTGGTCCTTCTCCCAGCCGAGGGAAGCCCAGGGCACGGCCTGGATGGAGGCCTCACACCTCTGCCAACTCGTCAGGTGGCTTGGAGTCCCAGCTGGGCTTTCTGTGCTCCCTGCTTCATCTCCCTCCAGTGGGCGCTGCTGAGCTCAGTTCCAGACCCAGTCCAGCGCCCTGGTGATGGCTGCATGTGGCCACGGGCCCTCACTGTTCCAGTTTCGTCCCTGGCTCCTCTGGCCAAGTCAGGGACTGGTGGCGTCGGCCTGGCTGTTGTGGGTCTGGACAGCCTGGTACATGCTGAGGACAGAGGACACAGTGCCCAGGAGGCCCACCAGCCATGAGGGGAAGCACCCAGCCCACAGCACCCCGGGGGGCAGCCAGTGCACGGCGTTGGCCAGGTCAGCCAGGTTGCTGATCAGGGTCAGTGTCTCCGACCACATCTGTGTCTCCAGGGCCTTCCGCCTGCTCTGGTGGGGCCGCCTGCAGAGGGCAAGAGGGACACACTCACACCTGAAGCCACTGGTCAGGGATGGAGTGCCGACAGGTCTCGGGTGATTAAGGAGGACTGTTCGGGCCAAGGTGCCATCCCCAACCTGCCCACGGAATCAGTCCCTGTCACACTCCCAGAGGGTGCCCCAGCATGTATGGGACACGGATGGGGGTGTGTCAAATCCACACCTCAGTCCCCCTGAAACGGCACTGTGAAGGGGCTGCTTGGTGGGAAGGTTCTGGACCTGTGACCCAAGCCAGGTCCCATCTTGATCATTGCCACCCCGAAGTGTAGCTGCCTCAAGAGTCTCTGAAAGGGACAGGGACCCCTGAGCTGGCAAACTACAGGCCAGACAGCCCAGATTCCCAACAAAGCCACCTCCTTTCCCAGAATAAACCAGTTACAAGGGCCTCGGGAGATTAGCTCCTCCCTCTGGGGGGTGTGGCTGGAAAAGCCCCGCCCCAGAACCCTCACCAGTGCCTCCTGGCTACGGGGCCTCTAGTCTGTTTCCCCAACTGTAAAAGGTCCTGCACCCTGAAAGCTGCTGCACCAGTGACCTAGCGCCCATTACGCACCAGCTCCTGGCCGGGCACATGGTGGCACTATAACAGTGGGGGCTCTGGGCAGCTTCCTGAGATCCCGCGGGGCTGGGGCCATAGAGGAAGGAAGCCTGGCTCCTGGGAGGCCGCCAGACAGCGTACCCGGGAAAGGCCGCCGCAGGGTTCTGCAGCTTCTGCCTCAGCTTCAGCAGCATCCGCAGGGACCTGCAGACGGGGGAGAGGTGTGAGGGCCAGCGGCTCTCCCGGTCACTGAGGCCACTGTCCCCCAGGGGCACTTCCCTTTCCCGGCCACCATGGTCCTGCACTGTCCAGGAGCTCCAGGCGCAGGGTCTCATCCCAAATATGGACCCCAAGCTGCCCAGGCCCTCTGCACAGATTCAGGGCTGTCTGCTGCTCCCAGTGTAATCACCAGGCCCCAGCCAGCCTTTGCGTACCGCTGGCTAAGGGCCTACAGCTCAAAAGAACACACCCTCAAAACAACACACACCCTCCACCCCATGCCTTCACACTAAGTCCACCCCCACCACTCCATGCCCTCACACCACACCCCGAACACTATGCCCTCACCCCACAACCACGCTACCAACGACACACCCTCCATGACCTCATAGCATGCCCACACCACACCCTCACACCACACCTGCCCACTTCTGCCCACAAGAGTGCTCCCAGCTGAGGACACCTGGAGAAGCTGCTTTTTCTCTCCAAGTCCCAGCCTCACCCATTAAATGTGCAGAACAGACTCGACCGCACCATCCCTGCCCCCGACATACACAGAGACACACGTGCACAGACATGCCACATACAAACACAGAGAGACACAGAAATACACACCACACACACTGGCCAGACCTTCCTAAGATGCCCGGGGCCCGAGGCTGGTGTCTGCAGGCAGAGGGTGGGCAGGTGGCTCCACTTTCCCCAGGGATTCTGCTAGGCCCCTGCCACCTGCGGCCCTGGCTGTGAGGCATGTGGGTGACTAGTGGCCCAGGCCCAGCCAGCGTGTGAATCTGCCAGCTGCAGGACTTCCCGCCTGGGAGCTCCAGGGCCTGGTCCCATCCCCGGGGCACCATGCAGGAGCCGCCTGTGGACCCATCCAGGTGACATGGCCCCAGAAGGTCCAGGATATGGGGCAGCAGTGTGGTAAGTGGGTCTGCTTCAGAGCCACCTGGAGGACGCGGCAAGGATGCTGACTCCCGGACCACCAGACCCGTGGAGCCAGAACTTCTCACACCTGGCCAGGCATCTGAATTTTAACAACCTCTCAAGTGATTCTCTGGAACCCAGGGACTCCAAAGACAACACACACTGAGCGCTCCCAGCCCCACACCCCTGCTCCCACCACATCCAGAGAAATGATGGGGAAACCACACTCCCTAGAAAAGGATGGAACCAACAAACACATGCCCCATGACTTCCTCTGTGGGGCCCTCAGCCAAAGAGCCCAGCAGAGTGTCAGTAGGCAAAGCACCACGGGGCACTGGAGATGCCGTGAGGGGCCCAGGGACACTGGGGCTGTGCCCCCAGACATCTTAACTAAGAGGGAAAAGCAACAGTGTAAAAGGAAAAGCTTCGCTATAGTGCAGGGGTGCCGATGAACTCAGCTAGAGAGTGAATTCCAAAGACGGACGTGAGGAGGAGGAAGGGACAGAAACGTGAGAGGCTGCTGACGAAGACAGTGTGGTGAGAGCAGAGCCCGCTGGGCCTCGGCCAAGGGCAAAGCCCACTGTGCAGTTCACAGCCAGGACGTGACCAACCTGCACCTGCTTGTCAGACACGAGTCCTGTGACTGTGGAACTACTGCCGCTCCCCACGTCGTGACTCCAGACCTGACGCACATGCAAGCCAGCTGCCTGGCGTCAGCGCCCACTCCCAGTGGCTCCGTGGGTCAGGGCAGAACTGTGCTCCACGGGCTTCCACTGGCTGAGCTTTCGAAGTCAGTCACCTTTCTTCTGAGGGGCCTCTGGGTGGACCCAAACTTCCAACCTTTCAGTCAGCCAAGTGCTTAACTATTTGCACCATCCATGCCACTAATAACGATAAACAGGTGGCATCGGTGGTCAGTGGTGGAATTCTTGCCTTCCAGGGAGAACACAAGCTCAGTTCCCAGCCAGGGCCCCTCAGGCATAGCCGCCATCTGTCCACGGAGGCCTGCGTGTAGCCGGGAAACTGAACAGTGGAGCTTCCAGACTGAGAAGAAAGGCCTAGTGACCACTTCTGAAGACTAGCGTCTGGAAACCCCGTGAGTCCCAGTGGTCTGTGCGGGCAGGCTTCCTCCGGTGATCCACAAGGGCTGCCTCGGACACAGTTCACAACCACCCTGACAACAGCGTGGACTCCAGGCTGCTCACAGGTCAGCAGCAGGGCATGTCCGCACCACAGGACTCTGAGGAGGTGGCTGACGTGAGGCCACGGGCCAAAGCTTCCTGCAGCTGCAGCCCAGCACGGACACCAACCACACGGGAAGGGCACGGCCTGGAGACCAGCAAGCTGCGCTCACAGACGCGGCACGGGCAAGGTAACGGCCACGGAGAGGCACTTCAGAGAGCGAGGAGGAGCTGTGTCCCCAGGACCCAGTGAGCCGAGACAGTAAAGCGGGGCCAGCAGAGGGGAAGAGGACAGGCTGGGCAGGACTCCGAGCTAGGACCAGAGGTCGACTGAGGGTGATTTAATCTTCAGCATTGGGGCGTCTCTACGCTCCAGACCGGCGGTGAGAAGCGTGTCATCGGCGCTTCTGTGGCAGGGCAGTAAGAACTACTGAGTGCTGAAGCCTTTCCTAGGGACAAGGGACAGCAGGCCTGAGACACCCCACAACAAGGACAAAGGAAGTGCACCCACACCTGAGGTCAAGGAGCCATGCCTCCCTTCACAGAATGGAGAGACCCTCATTGCCATCAAATGTGGGGACTCGGGGACCTGCTTCTCTGGAGCAGGGGACTCAGTGAAGCGACCCAGCAGGCTGCAGTGAGGAGAAAGTGCAGGAGAAACCATGCCCTTAATACACTTGGAAACTGTGGCCACTTGATTTGGGGGCATCTGCTGAAACCAACGAAGGACTGGGGGACCTGGGTCAAAGCTACCACACCAGCTGCTTCTCTCCAGGGCCCAGAGTTATTTCCTCTTCTTGAGCGTGGTTGCCAGAATAATGCTCCCCGCCAGAGGTGTCTGCCTCCTCATCACCTGTGGACGTGGGGCCTGGCGGGGCAAAGGGGACTTTGCAGATGGGATTATGTTAAGGACCTTGAGACAGGAGACGACACTGGATTATCTGGATGGGCCCAGTGTCATCACAGCGGTCCTTAGAAGAGGGAGGCAGAAGGGTCAAAGATGTGACGATGGAAGTAGAGGCTGGACGCATGTCTCGTGAAGAAAGAGAAGGGGGCCAAGGGATGTGGGGGGCCACTAGAAGCTGGAAAAGGCAAGAGGACAGATTCTCCCTAGAGTCTCCAGAAGGAGCCAGCCCTGCTGGCACCTGCATCTGAACCCAGTCAGACCCATGTTGGATTTCAAAACTGTGAGATGATAAACATGTCTTATCTGAAGCCACTCAGTGTGTGGTCCTGTTACAGCAGCCACAGCACATGAAGACTGTGGGGCCCTACACAAAGGAGGAAGAGCAGGAGAGGCAAAGGCCCACTGGCCACAAGCTGGGGACAGCCTGCCGATGCCAGGGCCACTGCAGCCCTGGGAGGGCCCCACCCCAGGCCTCCGGCCACGCCCATTGTCCCCTGCAGCACCACCTACCTGGCAATACCCAGGAGCAGGGAGAGGCCCCAGAGAGCTGTGCTCAGGGCCCACCAGCGGGCAGCGTCCACGTGGAGGATCTTGGCATCAGCGGCCCAGGCGACATGCTCGCAGGGGTAGTAGAGCTGGTCGGCCAGGTTGCCCAGAACAGACACCCAGCGGACAAAGACATCCTCCTCCTGCAGGACAGGAACGGGCACAGGCTAGGCCTGGGCTCAGCCAGCCACAGCCTTTCTGAGTGGCTGTGGCCATGCCAAGCACCCACCCAATGGTAAGCTTCCTCCTATAGTGGCAAGGGTACCGTCCAGGACAGGAAAGCGGGCCCCAGGGACCCCGGCTCACGGCCAGCCTCTGCCGGGGCAGCAGGCTGCTGGGCTGGGCTCGCAGCAATGCAGTGCTCACCACCCACTGAAGCAGCAGGTGCGACGTGGCTGCATGTGGAATCCCTGCTTCTGGGCGCCCCCCGGACACTTTGACTCCAAGCCCGGGGGGCGCCAGAGCACTGGGATGTTTTTAAGTTCCCATGGCATTCCAGCGCACAACCAGGCTGAGACATGCTGGGTCAGAGCCATTCTGGGTAAGAGGGGAGGAGAGAAGACAGCCCTGCAACCCTGACATGCAGCATCGTGGCTGGTGGTGCTGCCAGGCTGGCGGGACTTCCCAAACCAGAGAGGGGTCTCCCCTTCCGTGGTTCAGCACCCCACGCAGCACCCTCCCCTCCCCACCTTCCCCTTGCTGCCAGCACACTGCCATTCTTCCCAGCAGCCCCACGGGCCCCACAGTGCTGGGTAATGCTGCTCTTTCCTTCCTCCTGGCCAGCAGTGACCTGCCACCCATGAACCCCACTCCATGCTCCCCCATTCTGCCTGGGACCTTTGGGAACACTCTGGTACATTTTTATACCTCCTTGAGAACAGGGGCCCCAACCCCAATGTGTTCATTGCACCCATTTCCTGGGAAGCTGCAGGGTCCAGGCCCCACACTAAGGAGGGGGACAAACGCTTTGGAGGAGGGGGCAAAGATAAGCAAAAATCCTTGCTCTGGCAAGGCTCAAGAGGACCCTTCACAGAGATGTGTCTCAGGGGATGTGTGGGAGGTACCCCTATCATACCAAGAAGAGGAGGAAATGGGGGGGAGACCAGCTGTGGGGCACATGGGCAGGCCAGTAGTGTCTGAGCAGCAATGAGGGGGTCAGGAGGAAAGCCTGAAGGGCAGCCAGGGAGGGGGGGCCTCAGTAGGGCTGCGAGGACTACAAGTCTGGCTCTAGGGACCTTGCCTGCATCTCCCCCACCCAGCACAGGGCCAGGTGCACAGCAGGCACTTAATGTAAATCTGAAGTGAGGGATTGACCAGTGACCGTCCACCAAGTCACCCCACAGTGACACTCAGCAGCCTGACCCTGGCTTTCCCAGCCATGGGAGTGTGCACCAATGGCTGGAAGAGAAGGAGGCGAAGTCCAGCCCACACCCTGAGCCGGCAATGTCACCTCTAAAGCTGCACCCCGAAGGGCAGGTTCCCCACTCAGCACTGCTCACACTTGGAGCCAGATCATCTGGGGGACGGGGGCATTCCTGTGTACTACAGAATACGAGCAGCACCCCTGGCCTTCACCTACTCGGTGCCAGTAGCACGGTCCCCCAAAGTTGTGACAATAAAAAAATGTCTCCAGCATCACCTAGGGACTCAGGATCCCTTCACAGAGGAGATATGTGTATGTAGGGTGGGGAGGGGGGTCTCCAGGGAGTGCCTCCATCAGACAAAGACACCAATGAGAAACCGGAAACCAGGTCCCAAGGACATCTGGTGGTAATGCCTAAGGCACTTGACTGCTAACCAGAAAGCTGGCGGTTCAAACCCATCAGCCACTCCAAGGAAGGAAGATGAGGCAATCTACTTCTGTAGTGATACTGCCTCAGAAACCCCAACTCTATGGCAAATAACAACAAACAACAAGAAGGAAATACATGTGATTTGGGGTGGCCAGGCCTGGGAGTGTGGTGGGGAGCATCTGAGCAGTGAGAGGCTCAGGGAGGAGACCCCCAGGAGCACAGACAGGAAGGGTGTACCTCAGTGGGGCTAGTCCAGAGCACCGTCCCAGGGCAGCCCCTGGGAAAGTGTCTCCTGGGGCCAAGCTCACTGGCTGGGTGAGAACCACAGCCCTAGATGTAAGAGCACATACGTGGATTGTGACAGGGCCAGGGTACTTCCCACAGTGCCCATGCCCATCAACTGGTTAAATCATGCATGGCCTGTCTGTACAGCAGGGTATGATATGGCCGGACCACCCCGTCTGTCCCTTTGTCTTACTGTGGTGGCTTGTGTGTTGCTGTGTTGCTGGAAACTATGCCACTGGTATTTCAAATACCAGCAGGCTCATCCAGACTAAAATACACTAGAAAGAAAGGCTTGGCAGTCTCCTGAAAACCAGTCAACGGCCCCAGCCAACCACCCTGAGGGAGCAAGGAGTTGGACCTGTGGGCTCGGGACCATCGTCACAGGGGACATCAAGCTCATTGGCATAACATACTACACAAAAACATTGTTCCACATCCTACTCTGGTGAGCAGTGACTGGGGCCTGAAAGGCTTGCAAGCGGCCACCTAGATGCAATGATGGGTCTCTCCTCATCCAGAGCAAAGAATAATGAAGAAAACCAAAGATGCATGGAAACAATTAGTCCAAGGGACTGGTACACCATGCAATCTTCAGCCTATATGACTATGAGACCCAAAGAACTAGATGGTGCCTGGCTACCAGTCAATCACTCAGAAAGGGATCAGTGCAGGAGATCCTGGATAGAGTGGGAGAACAATGTGGAACAAAATTCAAAATCATAAAAAATGACCAGGTTTGCTGGTCTAATAGAACCCAGTGAGACCCCAAAGACTATGGCCCCTAGTTACCCTTCAGGCCTGGTACTGAACTCACTCCTGTGCCTTCTAGACAAGCATATGGGGTGAACATTTACATCAGGTAGATACACTCCTTAGAGTGATCATCATGGGAGATCAGAAGGGCAGTGTTTGCACTGGGAGATAGCCCAGGGGGCGGGAATGCACAAGAGGGAAGGACACAGGGAAGGGGTAACTACAGGGAGGAAGTGGGAAGACAGCTGTTACACTGTGGGGAATTGCAGTCAGTATCATGAAACAAATGCCTATGAACTGCTGTATGGAAAATGAATTTGCTCTGTAAACTTTCACCCAAATCACAATAAAAAACTAAAAAAAAAAAAAATCTGCCAATGAAAATCCTAAAGCTGACAAAAGAACACTGTCAGATACAGTGCTAGAAGATGAGCCTGTAGGTTGGAAGGGCTCTCAAAATACACAGTGGGTGCAACCACGGACTTGAGTAGACCAAGGACCATGAAGATGCACAGGACTGGGCAGTGCTGCATTCTTTTGTACACGGGGTCATCGTGAGTTAGAGTTGACTCAACAGTACTTGAAACAAACAGCGTGGCCAGAAAGAACAAAGCAGCATTTTTGTGGCTGATATGGAATGATCTCCAAGAAGCAAATGGCAAAACCACGTAAACAGCACACAACTATTTCTGTAAACAATATGCATTTGCCTGTGTAAGGTTCCTGGGTGGGACAAACGGTTCGCACTTGACTACTAACGTTGAAGCACTTACTGATGAAGATCAAGGACTGCAGCCTTCAGTATGGATTACACCTCAACATAAAGAACAAAAATCCTCACAACTGGACCAATAAGCAACATCACGAAAAACAGAGAAAGTCGTCAAAGGTTTCATTTTACTTGGATCAACAATCAATGCCCACGGAAGCAGCAGTCAAGAAATCAGACGACATATTACACTGGGCAAATCTGCCACCAAAGATCTCTTTAAAGAGCAAAGATGTCACTTTGAAGACCTGACCCAAGACATGGTATTTTCAATTGCCTCATATACATATGTAGGTTGGACAATGAATAAGTAAGATTGAGGAACTGATGCCCTTGAATTGTGGTGTTCGCAAAAAATGCTGAATATGCCATGGACTGCCAGAAGAACGAACAAATTTGTCTTGGAAGAAGCACAGCCAGAATGCCCCTTAGAAGCAAGAATGGCCAGACCTCATTTCTCATATTTTGGTCACATTATCAGGAGGGATCAGTCCCCAGAAAAGGACATCATGCTTGGTAAAGTAGAGGGTCAGTGAAAAATAGGAAGACCTTCAATGAAACGGATTGATCCGGTGGTGGCAGCACATGGGCTCAGGCATAGGAAGGATATAGGAAGGGTTGTGAGGATGGCGTTAAGACCAGGCAGTGTTTGATTCTGTTGGATGTGGGGCAGCTATCCGTCAGAAGTGACTAGATGGCACCTAACGCCACCACCACTAAACTAAACGTTGGCAATTCAAACTCACCCTGGGCTGCCATGGAGGCAAGGCCTAGAACCGCTCCATAAAAGTTACAGTCAAGGGGACCCCATGGAGCAGGTCTATTCCGTCACAAGGGGTCACTATGAGTGAGCTTGGACTCCAGGACGATGGGTTTGGTTTTTTGTTTCTTTGCTAGTGCAGCTACAAGAAATCTCAAGGGAACACAAGAAGCTGACCACAGTGGCTGCCTCTAAGGAGGAAAGATGGGGCCCAGAGGACCAGGGAGGGGGATTTTTTACTACATATTCTTTGAACCTTTCAAATTTGGGATGTATGAATAGATTTGCTATTTAAAAAAAATTAAAATGAAAACATCTGATCATCTCAAAAAAGAAATGAAAAGCAAAACAAAACAGTTACATTGGGGTAAACTGTAGTCAATGTCATGAAACAAAGTGTATGTGAACTGCTGTATGGAAAGTGAATTTGCTCTGTAAACTTTCATCCAACTCACAATTAAAAAAAAAAAAAAGGCAAAACAAAACAAAAAAAAAGCTCTTCATACAGGGAACACTCTGGGACAAATTCATGAAACAGTAATGCCTGCAGCCCCCTCCCCACAGCCTCATGACACCCATTACCTCTGCCCCCAAGCCATACTGCTTAGTGTAGGCGAACATGGCCAGGTCATCAAAGAGTCGCAGAACAGTCCTACAGTGGCTGAGCTGGGTGGACAGCGCCAGGAGGCGCATCCCCACGTCTGACTGTGCTGGGCACTGTTCCACCAGGATCCCGCCGACCAGTTGGCAGCAGTAACCCAGCGTCCGGATCTGCAGGAAACCAGAGACAGTCAGCAGGGCCCTGCTGCTCACTGGAGCTGGATCACCCTGACATGGCCCCATTGGATCAAGTACACAGAAAATTCTAGATCAACAGACTTGCAATAAAACCCAAAAGTTGCAAAAGACACCTGTAGGTGGGACCAATGGGGAAACATGACATCACTGCCCAAGAGGCACTGTCCAGAGTCTCATGGAGTGCTGGCTAATGTCACCAGTGGGCACGGCCTTTGGAGACACATGTGATGGGGACAAGGAAACAAAAGCCCATCTTCCACCTTTAGGATGATGCTTCTTTACCCAGCATGCAGGAGGACTAGGCTGAACTGTATATTTACATCCACCTAGGAACTCTGGTGGCATAATGGATAAGGGACTTGACTGCTAACCGGAAGGT